GGGCCGGGGCCCACCTTCTTCTTGAGCTCCACGCTGATGGCGTTGGCCTCCTTGAGGAAGATGGCGTTGCCCCACAGCAGGTCCCGCAGGGACGTGAACTGGTACCACTTCCACTTCCGGAAGGCCCACAGCGCCAGCTCACACTCCCGCTCCGTCCACTGGACTATGGAGAGAGGCGCCCGTGGTCATCACGGACATGCCGCCACCCCCACCGGGGCTGGGGGCTTGGGGCTGGGTCCCCTGGTTCACACTAACAGTCAGGGTGCTCAGGAAGGAAGTCGGCAGGAAGACCTGCCTCAGGCCGTGGACTCCCGCGCCCCAAAGAGGCCGTCAGCTCCCACAGCACGAGCGGAGGGTCCCGAGAGTCAGGCTGGAGCTCAGCGAGGACCGGTGTTGGGGGGTGGGCAGCGCAGCGACAGCCGCTTGGCCACATGGGGACAGCAGCGGAGGCAGGGGCAGGAGGGCGGGGAGGGTGATGAGTCCAGACAAGGGGAGGCCGAGCTGGACCTGAGCCCACACCCGACTCCACCCGTCTGCCCTGCCTGAGGGCCATCCTCGGCCCCTAGCAGTCCGTGGTCAGCCGCCCCAGCAAATGCTCTGAAAAGGGGACCCGAGGTGAGGAGCAGAGACTGTCCTGGGAGAAGCACCAGCCCCCCTGGGGCAGAACAGCGGTGAGTGGACACAGGACGCCTGCATGGGAGCCCCCACAGCGTACCACCCTCCTCATGCTCCAGGCTGCCCCACCGGTCAGTCTGCACGTGTGCCGCGTGTGCACCGCGTGTGCGTGCACGTACACAGACGCTCTCCTGCTGCAGTATAGCCTCCCAGGTCCTGCCTCCCTGGGACCAGAAGGCCTCTCCCAAGGCACAGGCAGAAGTGCAACCTCCAGGGGGTGCCTGCGGGCCGCCTCCTCACGGACAAGTTCCCTCACCTTCGTCCTCTGGCTCTTCCTCCTCCTCGGTCACCTCCGGGTAGTACCTGGAGTCCATCTGCCTCTGCAGGGCCTCCAGCTTGCTCTCGTAGTCCTGGGCACAGAGGCCAGGGCTGAGGCTCCAAGTGGAGACCGCCCGCCTAGCCCCCTCACTGGGCCTCGCCCCCTGCTCCCGAGTCCCGTGGCAGGCGCTGGCCACGGGGCTGCCCTCACCAGCCTCTGCTGCTCCAGCAGGTAGGTGGCCTCCTCGCGCTCCCGGCGGTACTGGTCCTCCAGCTCCTGGAGTCTGCAAGAGCACGAGGGGTGAGCGCGGGCGGTGAGCACGGGCGGGGACCAGCGCGGCGGGTGGGACCAGTGCGGCAGCGCCCCAGCCTCACCTCTGCTCCATCTCCTGCTTCATGTCGATGCCCTGCTTCTCGAGCAGCTCCCGCTGGGCGAAGGCCCAGTCCACGGGCTCGGCGGGCGTCTCGGCGCAGGGCGTGCGCTCACGCTCCTGCCGCGCCTGCTCAGGGTGGTTGAACCGGAACACGTGGCTCTTCCCCATGATGATGCGGTTTCCTGGGGGTCGAGGGAGGCAAGGCCGGCACGGGTGGGCCTTTGGCCTTGGGTGGTCTCAGGGTGACGGGGGAGACGGAGAGAAAGGGGAGGGCAGGCGCCTCCTCCAGCTGGGGTCCCAGCGTCGCCCACCCCAGGGAGGGCCCCCTAGCGTCAGGAGACGCCCCACCAGGTGCTCTGCCCTGTGTCACCTTCGTCCCCCAGCAGGGCCTCCTCAGTCTCTCCCCAGGTCCACCCCTCGGCCCCGCCCCTTTCAGCAGCAGTGACTTTTGGAAAAGTCCTGGGACTTCTCCCACGACCCCTCCTCTCCGAGGCCCCACAGGGGCCGCCCCCAGGCAGCCTGGCCTCCTGCTCCGGTGCCCTGGCCCTGAGCGTGCCCCGCCACGAGGGCTGCTCTGGGGCCCCTCATGCAGGGGCCTTCCCTTCCCATCTATCCCACTGACAGAAGCAGGTCAGGGGGTCTGCATGTCCACAGGGCCAGGGTCCACCCTGCCTGCAGGACCCTCCAGGACACACGCATCCCACAGGGGCAGCGCCTGCTGTCTCGGGACAGTCCTGCCTGTGCGGGTCTCTTTGGACAACTAGCTTCCTTCCAACTTTCTCCAGGAACTGCAGCCCTGCCTTGGGGCCTGCAAAGCCAGTTCAGCCCCTCTGCCCATGAGAGCCCCCGGGTCTGCGGGCTGCGCCTCCCCCGGCCTCCCGTAGCTCCTCCCACAGTCCCCCGGCTCAGCGTCCCCTTCCAGCCCCGGCCCTGCTCTGGGCCTGCAGGCACCAGGCCCCATCCTGAAACGCAGGAGGGAAGGACTACTCTCTGTGGCCCTGGCCCAGCTCAACTGCACCGTGTCCCCGTACTGGCTGATGGAAGGACACCAGCCACTGGTGGCCACGTGCGCCAAAGAGTCCGGGACATGCGTGTGGTGCGTCCCTCCCCCGAAGCATCCCTAGGGACCTGAAAGGCAGGACCCTGAGTCCCGGAAGCTAAAAGCAAGGCCTTTCGGGGCAGCTGGGAAGGTCTGGACATCAGGTCGCTGGCTGTCACCTCCCAGGCCTCCCGTCCCCTCTGCACCCCTAGCTGGGGCAGAGGAAGCGGGGCTTCCTCATTCTTAGCAAGAGTTCACCCCTGCCAAAGGTGACGTGATGGTCAGTTTTGTGAGTTAGCTTGGCCAGGCTGCAGAGCCCAGCGGTGCAGACACCGATGGAGAAGCTGCGAGGGGGTGTCTGTGGCTGGGGATGGCATCTAGAATCGTGTGACCTGAGAAAGGAGACCGCCCACCATGGAGTGGGCAGGCCTCATCCCATCAGCTGAAAGGCCTTCAGAGCAAACCTGAGGCTTCCCTGAGGACAAAGTCCCTCATGGATTTCAGACTTGCCCGTCCAGTCCCCACGGTCTCATGGGCCAATTCCATGAAATAAACTTCTTGATAGGTGCATAGTCAGGTGGACAGACAGACTGTACCTCCACATGTGTCTTACAGTGAGGGGCTGGCATCTGGGGGCAGGTGCAGCCCACCCCTTCGCTGGCTGCCCTGCCTCGGCCCCTCCTCCGTTCTGCCACACGCCTGGCACATGGGGGCTTCCCGGACGGGCCCCTGCCCTGGAACCCCACCTCAGCCTGCCCACAGCGCCAACTCAGTGCCACGGTGAGTGGCCTTCTTCCCCGGCCCGTGGGGCCGCCCGGTGGCGGTTGGGGGTGGTATGGGGCATCACATGGGCTGGCCAGGGGCCTGCAGCCCCTCCCAGCAAGCCCCACAGCCCAGCAGCAGGAGGGCCCCCTCACCCCTGCCATACCTGACCGCAGGACACTGGGCTCCGTGACTTTCTTGCCGTTGACGTAGGTGTCCGCCCCCTCACAGGGCTCCAGGGTCACCACAGCTGCAGGACAGATGGGGGGATGGGGAACAGATGGGGGACAGATGGGGGACAAAGGGGGAACAGAAGGGGGACAGACGGGGGACAGGGGGACAGAGTGGGGCCGTGAGGGGCTGCCATCCTGGCCATGCACCCCATCTGAGCCCAGCAAGCCCCGCTTGGGCCTGACCGCCAGCAGTGCGGGGTGGGGGTGGCTGGCAGCAGGGGCCGAAGGTGGCCATACCTTCACTGCCCCCTCGGGAGTCGCTCCGGAAGACACAGTGCTCCTCCTTGATGAAGTGCCCGCTCAGCACGATGTCCTGTCTCTTCTCCGCGTCCTCCCGGCCCACTCTGTGTGAGTGCAGTGGGTCGTTAGCACTGGCGGAACCCAGCGCACCCACGACATACACACCTGCCCGCTCGGTCTCCCTGCAGCCTCCAGGGGTGCCCAGCTCTTACAGGAAACGCCCAGAGTGCCCGTGAGTGGGTTTACAGGGCGCAACCCCAAATGCAGCCCGGCCTGGGGGAGCCACACCCCCAGCGTGGCCTGCAGCATCACACTGGCGACAAGCCAGGTGGGCGGCGACGTTCCAGCAGGTCCCCAGGCCCCTCAGTGCAGGAGCCTCCCCCCAACAGTGCCCCGCCACCTCCACCTGGTGACGCCATCCTTAATGTAGTAGAGGAGGCACTCGGACATCAGTGGGTCCTCGTTCAGGTTGACAAGATGTGGTGTCTGGGGAGACAAGAGAGTCACCTCTCTTGGGGGCGAGCAGGAGCCCAGACTTGCCGCCTGCTGGCCTCTCTCTTCCCCGCCCCCAGACCACCACCAGCCCAGGCCTGGCCTCACGGGGCATAGTGTCCTCCCAGCCTGGCAGAGAGGACAGCAGATGTGAAGGAAAAGGCTCCCTGAGCCTTGAGGGACAGTGACTGGGTGCCACTTGAGGGAGCTGGGCTTCAGGAGGGGCTGGGCCTGAGCTCTGAGCTCTGAGCTCTTGGTGGGGGTTGCTCGGAGGCTGTGGCAGTCACTTGGACGTGTAAGGCACAGGCTGGGCCCTATGGGGTCTGGGCCTGGTCCTCCATGCTAAAACAGGGCTCCAAGTCCTCATTCCAACTGCGGCACCCAGGAGCTGAGGGTGGTGATCAGGACGCTGGCCAGGGAGGGCTCAGGCCCTGGGGGCCAGAGAGCAGAGAGGCTGAGAGAGAAGTCCCCCTGAGCCACCCAGGTCAGACCCCCCAGGCCTCCCCTGACCACGAGTCTACCAACGCATGACCCAAGGTCAAGGTGACCACCTCCTGCCAGCTGCCCTGTCTAAGCACTGCCCTCAGCTCCCTGCCCCATGCCGTGCCCAGGGCAGCCACTGCAGCCTCCTCCCCCTGGGCCTGGGACCCTCGCCTTTTCACTTCCTCCACTGCTCTCACCCAGGGGCCTACGGGCCCCCAACATTTCCTAAGCTCAGGGCCGCTGCCCCACGCCCGGTCCCTAGCAAGGGTTCTGAGATGTAGCGGAGGCTGGGACAGCTTCCTCAGTTTCCCACCTGGTATCCTGGGGCAAGCTGCCCCCACCCAGAGCTACAAACCCCACCATGCCCCTCCAACATCCCTGAGCAGGGCTGTGGCGATCTGGTCATCAGTCACAGGACAGACCATCCCCAGCTGCCCCTTCCCCCAAGCAGGAAGGGTGTCCAGTCTGCACTTGCCCAGTGGGGCCGAGCAGGGCACCCAGCTGGCCCACATACTTCTCCAGAGTCCTGGGAACCCCACTGTTCTCCAGAGAAGGCGGCCAAGTGGTCCCTGGGGCTGTCCTCCTGCTCTCAAGCAGTGTCCAGACCCGGAGCAACCAGCAAATCCCTCTGCCACCAATGAAGCCAGAGGACAGCACAGCCAGTGCCCTGATGGCACCTGCAGCCCAGCTCTGCACACACCCGGCCCAACAACAACACAGCAGCTTAGGGACAATGTATTCCAGACAAAACCCAAAGGCCCATCCAGAGGGTGTGCAATAGCACGCCGCCAGGGCACCACCTGCTCCCACCCCACCGCAGCCCTCCCCACCGCCTCTGGGCCTCAGCACATGCTGCTCCCTGGCCGGGAACGCAAGGTGCAGAAGGAGCCTGAGGAGCCTGTCCCGCCGCAGGGGGCAGCCACCCCGGCTGACGGGCCCAGCGCACAGCTGCCCCGCGCTCCTCTTCCCTCAGGGCCCCAGTGGCACAGCATGGGCTCCGCTTCAGGGACCGGCAAGCACAGGAACCCTCCGCTGGGTGAAAAGCCAGCCAAGCGCTTCCTCAACCAACAAGGCAGCAGGGGCAGGGCCTGGAGAGTCTGTGCTGAGGTCAGAGCAGACTGCCACCACCTCCCAGAAGGCTTCCCAGCTTGAAGCTCGGCTCTTAGGGCTCCAGGGTCTTTCGGGTGAGGGGGTGGGTCTGGGTCCAGGACCACAGAGACTTCCTCCCTAATGCTCACGCCTCGCCTCATCTGAGCTCCCGAATGGGGTGCTGTGGGGCGCTCTGCTCCACCTGAGAGCCAGGCCGTGGGCAAGCCAGGCCTTGGTGGGAGAAGAGGGGTCCTGGTGGGGACAGCCAGGTCCCACTTTAGCTAACCTCAGCCCATGTCTAGCCAGGCCCAGCCCATGAGTGATGCAGGCTGGAGGTGGGGGAGGAATGGATGTGGGCGAGTGTGGCCAGGGTCTGGACCTGACGCCCTGCCCAGGAGGAACCACCGCCCCCCAGAGGAGCTGACACCCACAAAGGGCCGCAGGTCCCCCAGCCCTGTCTACATCGGGGCAGCCCCAGGGAATGGGCAGGCTCCTACCTTCTTGGGGGAGAACACCCCCAAGGTGCCGCCGTCCTCCCTCATGGCCACGCCCATCTCGGCCAGCAGCGCCTCCCTGGGGGACAGAGCAGGGCTTAGCGTCCAGCAGGGCTTCACCTGGGCAGTGAGCTAAAGTCCTGCCTGGAGGGACTGGTCACCTGATCAGGGATCAGGTCAGTGGGGCCACTGGTGACGGGGGCGAGGTCACTGGATGACAGGTGGCAGCTGTGTCCTGTGCTAGACAGGGCCACCCCTGGGTGCAGGCACCCTTGGCTGGGGCACCGGGCTGCTGCCAGTCCCCATCCCCAGTGCCCACCTCTCCATCCGAATGGCTTCCGTCCGCCGCAGCTTCTCCTCCCAGGTCTCGTTGAGCTCAGCTATGATCTTCTCCGTCTCCTGGGGGGTGAGACAGAGCAGAGTGAGGTCATGGCTGGGGGCAGGCCGTGGGCAGGCCGTGGGCAGAGGCCTGGGTGCCAGGAAAAGGGGAGAGGAGTAGCCGGGTGTGTAGGGCCCGACAGCCCGACTCCAGGTCCGCCAGGCAGCGTGAAGTCTGAAAGGTCAAGGTGAAGGGCTGAGGGTTAGCATGTACAAAGGACGTGTGTCTTTCCTGTGGACACACCCAGAGAACAGAGAAAGAGCTGGAATAAACCTGGAGGGAGAAACAAACACACATGGAGACGCGGAGACGCTGCTTCTGAGGCACGGAGTCCCTGCGCCGCGGCTCTCCCCTCTTCCTTCCCAGCCCCACACCCCAGGTGGCCCCCCACGCCTCAGGGAGCCCCCGTGTGTGCCCAGGTGGGACCCCACAGCACGCTGGGCCCTGTGCTCCCGGGTGACCTCACACCCCATCCCCACACCAGCCTGCGTCCGGCCCCTGAGCCCTGGTCTCTCCGTCCCTCAGTCTCCAGGATCTGGGCTCACCCTCCACCCCTCACACCCAGCACCCAGCAGCCGTTTGCAGAAGAAACCCGGCAACCAAACACCCACAACCAGCCCACCCGGCCAGACCAGGCGGGGAGTGCCGCAGAGCAGGTGTAACCACGGGGACCGGGAGGAGGCGCAGAGGCCCGGGGACCCCCACACGCCGTGGTGAGCAGGCGGGGCCCCCGCGCTGGACCGAGAGTGCTGGTCACGTGGAGGGACGCCGGGGCTCAGACGCACTCTGCGTCCACCCGCACGGCCCGCTGCTGCCTGCCTCAGTGCCGCCGGGCAGGAGGAGGGGCCTCGGCCTGGGCGCCCGCCCCTCCCGAGCCCAGCCCGGCCTCACCTTCAGCCTCTCGATGGCCTCCTCACTGCCCGGGGCAAACAAGATGCGCTCGTGCAGGCTGGACACGGAGGCAGCGCGGCTGGACAGGGCCGAGAGCGAGGACGAGGGGCTCACGCCCACCAGGGCGTTGGTCACTGTGGAGAGATTGTCAGGGGCTTGACTCAGCTCCGCCCCGCCACGGTTAATGTTATTGTTCTCAAGGTCGGACACGTCTAGGAGGAAGGGAAGGAGAGGGGAGGCGGGCAGACAGGAGGAGAGAGAAAAAGACCAAGTTGGGAAAAAGCGAAGGTGGGTGAAGAGAAGGCAGCAACAGGAGCCACGGCGAGCTGGGGGCAGACCAGCGCATGCAAGGCCCTTCTGCTCCCCGGGGGGCCCCGGAGTCCTCTGCACCCTCCTGGCAGGGGCCCTGCTTCCCCTGCACCCACGCCAAGCCCGCAGCCACCTCCCAGCCCCTGCATCTGAGCTGCGTGGGCCCGAGGGCTCCACCAGCCTCCTGCCCTCCCTGCCCTCCTGCCTCCTCCTGGCACCGCCGGCGGCCCCCCCGCACCCAGGCCCTGACGCTCGTCCCCGTCCTGGCTGCCACCCCTCGCGCCCACCACCCACCCAGCTAGCCATGCACCCCGAGCTGTGGAGGCTGGGCTGTGCTGACCATCCAACCCCTCTGGGAACCCGAGAGGAGCCCCCCTGCCTCCACCTCAAGGAGCTGCTCTGGGCCCAGAGACCCCCCCACCTCACCCCGGGCTCCCTGTCCCCCAGGGCCTGGGAGTTGGGGCTGAAACACCCCCTGGTGGGGGAGGTCCCAGGCCCCTCCTGGCAGAAGCAGACACACCGCAGAGCAGCAGCAAGTACAGGACAGCACGGGGCGGGGGTGGGGACCCAGCCACCCTGCAGCCCAGGGCAGGGAGCCAGCCCAAGGCCAGCGGGCACACAGGCCGGATGGGTCTGGCAGCATTCGGACTCCTGGCATTTCCCAGGGGAGGGGGCCTTGGGGTGCCCGGGGCCAGAGGGGTCCAGAACCAGGAGCCGGGACAGACCCAGCCCTCCAAGGGCCCTCCAAGCTGTCCAGGCCTCTGTGCTGATACGAGGAGCTTCCCAGGCCTCTAGGAGCACAGAGGCTCAGAGAGGCTGGTCTCAGCCACGCTTGGTCTGAGAGGCCTTGGCTGCTCTGTGCCTCAGTTTCCCACAGAGACACTGTGTGGAGGGGAGTGAACCGGGAACACGGGCTTGCGAGGCGCTGTGACCCTGTGTCTACCAGGGGCGCCGTGAGCGAGGGGAACCTGGCCCGCCAGCCCCAAAGAGGGGAAGGCAGGAGAGCAGCTGTACCCCCACCCCCGTGCTGCCCTACACCCCGCGGGCCAGGCGAAGCAGGGATGCGCAGAGAGCAGCAGGGGGATACACACATTTGGGTCCTCCGGGCACAGTGTTGGCTAAGGGGAGGGAAGCGTGGGGGAGAGACAGAAACAGAAGAACAGGTTTGTCTCCAGGGCGCCCGCTGCGGCAGGCAGGGCGGCGGTGGTCTTTGGCAGGACACGGGACCGCCAAATCCCGGCACCGTGGACGCTGATGTGGCCTCCAGGGAAACCATCTCTGGCCTGCCTGGGCCAGCAGCAGACCCGAACCATGCAGCCCACCCAGGCCCAAGGCCCAGAAACCCCTGGCCCTCCTGAGACCTGCCAAGGCC